AACTTCAGTTTCAGGGGAATACTCTCTTCTGGTTTCTGGAGACACCAGGCAAAACATACAACAAAATAATTTAAAAAACTAAAAAGGCATCATGTCTCTTCTAGCCATATTAACTTGATATTAACTGGTTAGCCCCACGTAGAAGGGTAAAACCAGCCTCCCATCTCTCAGTAGGCACAAAATTCAGTTCCCAAAGTGTCAAAGACCTTAATGCAAAACCTGAAATTCTAAAACTACTAGGAGAAAATACAGGGAAAATATTTCAAGAGAGGAATGGGCAAGAACTTACTGAAGAAGACTCCAATAGCTTAGGAATCATTTCCAAGATTAACAAACAAGTGTGCATGATAGTGTGCAAGGACGAAGCCTCTGGGCTGCAAAGCGAACAGTCCACAGAGTAAAGAGGCTCCCTGCAGAACGGAAGGAAATTTTGCCAACCATACATTAACAGAGGATTGACATCTAGATAGCTAAGTACATAAAGGACTCCAGAAATTAAACACTGCAATAAATGTGCTAATGAAGTGACTGGAAAACTCTTAAGGGAAGAAATACCAATGGCCAAATAAAAACCGGAGAAAGTGTTCAACCTCCTTAGCCACCAGTGAAACGCAAATTAAACATTTTGGAAATTCTATCTCGCTGAATGACTGTCCTCAATAAAACAAATAACAAATGTGGTGGGGATTGGGGAAAGATGATCTCTCTGTGTCTCCCTCCCCCTCCTCCCCTGTGTGTGTGTGTGTGTGTGTGTGTGTGTGTGTGTGTGTGTGCGCATTCAGGAAGCCAGAGATAACTTGGGGTGTCATTCTCTGGAGCCATCTATGTTGTTTCTGAAATAGGGTCTCTCACTGGGCTGGAGCATCAAGCCCCGGGGATCTGCCTGTCTCTGCCTCCCCAGTGCTGTGATACAATTACACACACCATTGTGTCTATGCTCGTTGTGGGGAGGAACACTTATACACTGTTGGTGGGAATAGTACACCCACTAGGAAAGTCAGTGCGGATATTCCTCAAGAAAATATGAAAAAGAGAACTATTACATGATCCAGCTGTACCAGTCCTGAGTACGCACTGGAAGGAATCTAAGTTGGCACACCACAGAGACACTTGTACCTGCATGGTTATTGCTGCTCTATTCACAACACCCAGGAAATGGACCAGATTGGATGTCCACCAACAAATAAATGGATAGAGAAAATGTACATACCCATAATGGAATTTTAGTCAGTTATAAGGAAGAATGAAATTATGACACCTGCAGGAAAAGTGAAAAGTGAATAAAATTAGAGTGCATTATGTTATGCCACACAAGCCAGACTCAGAAAGACACAAATTTCTCTCTCTCTCTCTCTCTTTTTTTTTGAAAATGTTAGCATTTAATTAACCTCTTTGGGTGGCTTCAAGCCACCAGGACACAGGCACCTCCAACACCCTTTATCTTCTCTTCAGCTCTTCTGCTGAAAAATTTGGCTTTCACGATGACAGGCTGCTTAGGGAGCTTTCCCTTCCCCAGGACTTTGTAGAAGCCCGATCGCACAACATCAATGATGGGAGCAGCTCCAGTCTTGTTCTTTGCAGCATTGACGCGTGTCTGCTCACTGACCAGCGTCCACAATGTATCCAGGCTGACAGTCGGACAGAAGCTCTGGGTCCTCTTTAAGTGGTAATGTCTCATACCAACTTTCCCAAAGTAACCTGGATGATATCTGTCGAAGTTGATCCTGTGGTGATGCATGCCTCCAGCAACACCGCGGCCTCTTGGGTGCTTGCGGTGTTTACCGATGCTGCCGTGGCCGTGGCTCACGTGGCCCCGGAGTTTCCGGGTCTTCCTCAGTCTAGATGGCATGGCGGCAGAAGAACGGAAAGAGCACATTTTTCTCTTATATGTGAAATGCAGATCTAAATTTATGTATGTGTGCACAGGCGCGTGCGCGCCACACACACACACACACACACACACACACACACACACACACGACCTGAAAGTACAAAGGGGGATATTAGACAGAGGAAGAGGCTGAAGGGCAAGGGGCAGGAGGCAATAAGGGAGTGCAGTGGAATAGATGTGGCATGGGCGCAGAAGGAGATACTGTCTGTGAGGTGGAAGAGGACCATCAAGAGAAGAGGAGGAGGGATGGGGAAAGCAGAGAAAGTTGAGTAAAATGAAATGCACGCATGACATTTTAACAGTGAAACTGTAACTTGTTTGTGGGCAGAAGTAGGTTTTATTCCTTTGGGGTCATCCACGGACTCTACTGCTGAAGATCTGGAATTAAAATCCGCATAGAGAGCATTTGTCATGCACAGGCTAGCTCTCCTGTCAAGGAATTCCTGGAGGATGAGGAGCATGCAAGGTGAGGAAGGTGGCAGCTAGGATCTAAACTCATCCACGCACTAAGCAAGTCTTGGCAGAGTAGACAAGGATGAGAAAGATCGATTGGGAGGATGGGAAAATGCAGGAGCTCTGAGAAGAGATCTCTCTCTCTCTCTCTCTCTGCTCCTCTGACATCTAGTGGAGATTGTTCCTTCCAGGGATCTCTGCTTAGAGCAAATGACATTTAGTTATACAGATCTTAGTTTTAAGAAATTGTTCTGATGATATGGTGTGACCTCAGTTATGCAAACACTGTGAACAAATGATGACAATTTAAAGACTCAAATCCGACATTAGCTTAAGAGGGACCCCAAGCCAGTAGATACTTCCGTTCATTATATGAAGCATGGATATTTTTAGATTCTGACATTGGATTTGGTAGTGCTTGCTCTAGCCTGTCAATTAAAGAATTGGCCTATATCTTTGATCTGTGTTTAGATTTTCTGTTGACAGAACTTTATAATAGCTAGAACTAGAAATGCCATCTTTGGTGGTGATATAGCAGGGGACCTAGGAGAGGTCTTAAGGTGTTGATAATTAGCAGTGTGTGAAGCACACGGTCTCAAAGCAATTAAGGATGGTAATTGAATATTTGGTTGCAAAGCAGAACGGCTCATATGTAGCTGGAGGTACTGCTTGCTTGAGTTACATTATACAAATGAGGTTGAAAATCCAGAAAGAACGAATGTGGGCCAAACAAATGCTTGTCTCACACAGAGCCACATTTTTTGAATAGTAGAGCCTTGTTGCTTTATGTGACACTATTGGCTGCAAACTTCAATATTAAACATGTAAACTTTTAGCCTATCTCTTGTAAATATGGCACACCATTTACTCATGGAAAACTTAGCGGCCAAGGAGAGTCTACAGTCATTTGATTTGGTAAACACTTCCACGTTCATGTACTTTAAATGCAATTAGTGGTCACACGATGGGCCACAATGTCACATCTATGCTCATTTGGGAGGCATAGGGGAATATTATTGATGAGTTCAGAATGGCCCAGGGATTTTATCATAGACATCCTGTATAACCTTCTTATGGACTTCATAAGCTATGACATTTGATTAATGTGAAAATATATACAAGAAACTCAAAACAAATCTAGTCTTGTGAAAAAGTTTTCAAGAAAAGTGAAAAAGAAATGCAAAATTCCCTTTAGTGGAACATCTGCAGAAACTGGTGGATGTTTTTCCTCAGTGCTTATGGGAGAGTGGGCTGCATCGGTCTGCCTGGGGCTTATTAAGGCAGAGGATAGAATGCCACTAAATATGTGGGAAGGCTTAGAATGCAGGCTGAATTTAGTGTCTGGCTATTTCTGTCCTCTGGATGGGAAAGTAAGTTGTACAGCCTCTATGATAAAGAAAAGAAATGATATATGCTTGAAATCCACAGGTTATATCAGTGCTGAAGCTGGTCATCTCCTGACTTTTTCTCCTTAACCTCCATCGGCTTTCTGAAGATGTATGTAACAGATGGTGATTTTTTTTTTTTTTTTTTAAAGTTAAGATTCTAGCAGGCAGTGAAGGATAGGAACCCAGCACCTTAAAGTTCCACAATTAATCACCTCCATCCTGTTTGAGGAACTAGCTTGCATAAAGATGTTATGATCTAGGAACCACAGTCCATTAACCACAGTCCATTTTGGAGTGTGCACAGGGTATATAAAACGTAAATTGTACTCCAGGCCTGGAGCCGAGCTTATTATGCAAATACATCTCCTAAAAATGTGGAGTAAAGGAGCTTAGGGTTAGTGAACAGGGCCGGATCACAAGAATGAAGCATTAGCCTGTGTGTGGTTGGGAAACACGGTTCAGAGGTAACGACTTGACCTCTTTGGATCTGGGAAAGTTCCTGTTTGTTTCGTAATGTGTGCATTTCACGAGGGCTTGGGAGCTGTGTAAGCAGTAAGGTGAGTCTGCAGCAGTACCACAAACTTAAGAAAGTGGAACCAAACACCCTGTTTCATCGTCGTTGAAATACATTTAGTAAAAACCTCCCAAACTATACCACTTCTTGATGCTAAATTTTTCTTTTTTTTTCTGAAATGTTTATATGAATTTCTTGGGAAAAAATTCTATACTCATTTTCACTTTGCTCTAAGGACGAATTAAAAAGTAAAACCAGCTCTCAAAGACAACTCCCCAGGCCATGGTAGTGCATTCCTGCGATCCCAGTGTTTGCACAGTGGAAGCCTGTGAAGTTCAAGGTCATCCCTTTCTCTACGGGGAGGAGTTTGAAGCCAGCTTGGTCTCCTTGAGACCCCGTCTCACAAAACCAGGCCCAACAAAACTAACGGGTAAATGATGGGAAATAAACCGTTTGACCAGAGTCTTACTGAGTCATGGTCTTCAAGCCCCCTCCCAAAGCAAGGCAACCCATCCGCCCTTCAGGGAATTGCCGGGAGCAATGAGAGGGCCCAGGCCAGGCGTGTCCTGGGGTCCCGCGGCTTCTGGGAGGGCTCTGAGGTCTCAGGCGCAGCAGGCTTTCTGGGGAGCAGCAGCCCCAGCTCGGCTTTGGCAGGCTGCTCGGTGTGTGTTCCTGTGTTAGGGGGGTGTGAGTCGGGGGCGGGTCCTCGGGCCGGACACGCCCCCCACCGGCCTTAAAACGCTCGCCCGCGCCCGACCCGCCGCCGCTGGCGCTCGCGGGGACTGCCAGGCTCCGCGCGGCCCCCAGCCCCGCGCCTGTCGCGTCCGCGCCGCACAGTTGCCCATGGCTGACCTGAGCTTCATCGAGGATGCAGTCGCCTTCCCCGAGAAGGAGGAAGACGAGGAGGAGGAGGAAGAGGGCGTGGAATGGGGTTACGAAGAAGGTAGGCTCGCGGGGCTGCTGCCGCGGCTTCTCTGCCCCACGCGGTTCTGCGCTTTCCGCTCCGAAGCTGCCCCACTGCGGCTCGCACCTGCTGCACCCAGGCAGCCCAGCCCGGAGCAGACCTGAAACCCAGTTGCTTTCTAGTCTTGGGAAGTCCAATCAAATGCGCTTTAGAAAACGCGTCCCGGATTGCAAGCTAAGTCAGTGCTCTTGGTGACTTTAAAAGGAGTTTCCTAAATCTGTCCCTGAAGACCCAGGGCTCCTAATATCCATTAGTGTCCATGCTCACTGTATACACGGGAAAAAAAAAAAAAAAAAAAAAAACAAAACAAAACAGTGCAACGGAGTTCATAAATATATGTATGGGATACTGTATTTGCTTTTTAAACAAATGGTGCTCCTTAGCATTACGGGTTTCCGCTGTCTCTGAGCTTGTTGAACGTTGCAGATATTTTCTAAGTATTGCATTATAATTGAACTGAGGAGCAGAGGAAATTTCTGTGTTTTTTTTTCTAATTACTTAAAGTGACTTAAGTTTCTTAAATCCCCAAATCAAGGCATCTGTGTGCACAGATATAAACACGCAGTAAAAGATTGTGTGTGTGATATTATATTTGACAACAGATCACTCACACAATGAATGTGAAAACCCATACACATTTCTCAAATTTCATTTGTGTACACATGGTAGTCACAGCTACAATGTCAAGGATTATGAGCTTTTATGTTATATTTTACTATTACTAACTTAAAAAATCCTATTCTCAATTTTTGTCATTTTCTTGTCAGGTGTTGAGTGGGGCTTGGTGTTTCCTGATGCTAACGGGGAGTACCAGTCTCCTATCAACCTGAACTCCAGAGAAGCCAGGTACGACCCCTCGCTGCTGGATGTACGCCTGTCTCCAAATTACGTGGTCTGCCGGGACTGTGAAGTCACCAACGATGGACACACCATTCAAGTTATCCTGAAGTCAAAATCAGGTATTTTGGAAAGCATGTTTTTGCGTTGTTGTGAGCAAGTGGACAATCTCTGATTTAATTTGTATGGTTTAAAAGGTGGTACCAATGCAGTTCCTATTTTCATAGTTCTTTACAAGATACGTTTTCTGTGGATTATTTTCTAAAATAGCGTGAAGGGCTAAGAGGGTAAATGACGGCTGTCTCAGCTGGCTGTCCTCCCAAAGCTGTGCCTGGCGCTGCCTCTGATGCTTGAACAAACATTTACTGACCTGTGAGGAACAGAGTCCGTACACAGGCATGCTTCTTTGAGTTGTTCTGCTGTGCATTTTGTTCTAAATTACTGATTAGCTGAAATCATTTAATTATAATTCTTTGTTTTACAGTTTGTGAAACCAAAGATCAGAATTTATAGATGTCATTGATGTCCGTATTCAAGATAAACCTTTCAAATTGAATTTCCCTTCTCTATTATTGACAAGAATAATTTTAATAACAGTTAAAAGCATCCTCTGAACTTAGCCAGATATTTATATGGAAACGTAGCTCTTGGTTTTGTTTATTTTTAACTTCTTGAACCTAGTTGAAATGAATCTGAAATGTTTTGTGGGAAAATTAAATTTCCAGGGAAATTGGTTTTTAGCTTAAATGTAGGAGAGAGGAAAGCAGGTTTTTTTTTTTTTTTCTTTAAAGAACTAAGCATTAACATTGTGTTTTTCAAGGGGAATAATGACTGTTTTCCTCTTGGGAAGATCGTGACGTTCAAGTATGTTGAACGTTGACGTGCTTCACAAACAGGCTGTGCTTGCATTAATTCCAAATTAATTTTGGAATTTCAACCCATAAAGCCTTTAGGTCTGTCACTGGGCAAGGAAGGCATTGACTCCTTCCTTTAAGTCACCATGTTTCAGGGCTTTATTCGAAATCTGTGAGGCAGAACATAAATCCTTTGTAGCTGTTGAGTTTAATCAAGGAGGGGACAGCTCCCGAAGGACAGTGCGTGTGTGTGTGTGTGTGTGTGTGTGTGTGTGTGTGTGTGTGTGTGTGTGTGTGTAGTTTGTTTTTCACTAAGTCCACATATTGAACTTTGAGCGTAAATCAGGATGTTTCGGAGATGTTTACCTCTGGTCACTGTGTATTCTGCATTGTACTTTGTGTATGCCTCTGCCCTCTCCGCCCTGCCCTCCACTCCTGAGGGGTACCAAGAGCTGCCTGTACCTCTGTCCTGATGCAGGCTCTGTCCTCCTCTCCTCTGGGGGCTTTCCTCCCGCACGCGCCCTGCTTCTTTCAGTCACTGAGTGATCTCTCCCTTTGATATTTCAGCAAACTTAAAAATTAATTCGTGCTGTGCATGGAGGTGCACACCTCTAATCCCAGTGCTTCAGAGGCAGAGGAAGGTTGACCTCTCTGAGTCCAGGCTAGCCTGGTCTACACAGGAAACACTTACCTAAAAAAGCCAAGTAGCTGAAAGACCATGTCTTGATTAGTTTATTACTTTTTTTCTAGGATATTTCAACTTCTCTAAGGAATTGTTTTTAAACTCTAAACATCATTATTTATTTAAGTTTTTTCTTTATCAAAATGGACTACAGACATAATTTGAATAGTTAGCTTTTTCTACGTTTTTCTCTACCCTAACTACAGCCTATCTCATACCACCTACAACTTCTGTTTTTCTAGTAACAACTACTTTGAACCTTCAAGAATTATATATTTGTTTTTTTTGTAATTATGATTTGATTACCTTCTTTACCCCAAACCCTCCCATATACTTTTTCTTGTTTTTTTCATTCATTGTTATATACATATATGTAAATGTACATGCATATATATTCCTAAATGTATAATACAACCTGCTCAGTCTGTATGTGACTTAGGTGTTTGCTTTCAGGGCTGAACGTATTAAAATGGTTTCTCTTGTGTTTCTTATTAACGTATTTATGTTATTTGCTCTGATATTTAGGCGCTCCCCAGGCTCCCTGCTGAGGAAGAGGAGGTGGGTCTTCTTATAAGCCTCTCCTGTCCTGCTTTTGCCCCACAAGCCTAAATTGTAGTTATTAAAATTAATACTCAAAACATTATTACACCTGCCATTTCTGCCCGAGACTATATTCTGTTTTTCTTTATGGAAAAATGTTTTCCCCTGGAGTTACTGTATTTTTGTTTATTTATTTTTAAAATTACCTAACAGGAATTCACTTTTAACTCTGAGAGATGATAGGTCCTGTCTCAGCACATTCGAAGGCATCACGTGGTCCTTCCTTCTTGTCCTTTCTGCTGCCCCTTGGAGCTGTTCTTCTCTGTCTGGACTGACACTGAAAAGCTTCTCATTTTTCTCTCTCACTTTTAGTTTCTAAAAACTGATACCGATTGTTTGATTTAATTTCCTTTTGAATTTCACCATTCAGTGTTTCAAGAAAATGAGACCTTTCTTCATTCTTTTCTGTTGCCTTCTTCCTGGATTTTTGTTTATTCTGGGTTCCTTCTCTGTCAGCTCAGCTCTGTCCTTTCATTTGGAGGTCCTTGTCAAGCACCTAGTGTCCAGCTCTCTGCTGCTACTTAAGAGTGACTCTAAAATGAGGTCTAGAAGCTTGGTTCATGAAGGGAGGGGCTGCCATGTGGTCACATGGTCAGTGATGGAATCAGACAGTGACCTAGCTCTGTGGGAGAGATAGCTCTGGAGGTTGGCTCAGTGTCCTGGGACTTTACCTGCTTGCTATTTCTGCTTTTCTGGGGGGCAGTGGGTGGGTGGGGAGGGAGGGTTGTCCCACTTGTGGATGTTTGCATTCTGTCCATCGTCAACAGCCAAGAGAATGTCACCATATGCTGTGTTTGTATTCTCTGTTCACCTGCCAGGGACTACGAAGGCAGTTGTTTGACTATGGAGAATGCAGTGCAAAGTGAGCCACTCTTTTTAGAGATCTTCATTTCCTGTTTGTAGTTTCCCACTCTGTGCCTCCACTCACATCCAGGTACACCCAGTGCCCCTCGGTTCTCAGTCTGCCCTGGTGTGTCTTTCCTTTTGGCTGCTGTGACAAAATGTGATTTATAAATATCAGGAATGTCTCAGTTAGGGTTTCTGTTGCTGTGAAGAGACACTGTGGCCATGTCAACTCTTAGAAAGGAAAACATTTAGTTGGGTGGCTTACAGTTCAGAGGTTCTGTCCATTATCATCACGGTGGGACGTGGCGGCACGCGGGCAGACGTGGTGCTGGAGAGGGAGCTGAGAGTCCTACATCTTGCACAGGCAGGAGGAAGTGGTCTACCTCACCGGGTTTAGCTTGAGTTGAGGAGACATCGAAGCTCACCCCACAGTGGCACACTTCCTCCAACAGAGCCACACCCTGAACCAGTGCCACTCCCTTTGGGGCATTTTCTTTTACACCACCACAAGGAGTTTCTCATTTCCAGAAATCTGCGAAGTCTCAGCTCAGGGTTGTACAGATGCAGCATCTGAGGAGAACCGTGCTCTGCTGCATAGACGGCACCCAAAGCTGTGTCCTATGAGAGGACCGAGCCGACGCCATAACAGGCTGCTCAGTCTTCTCTCGGAGATCAAGCCTCAGACCCTGCTTTAGGGAACTGAGCAGGCAGTTTCTGAGGAAGACCCACAGACAAAGGGCAATTAATCACTGGTGCCACTGACAACAGGGACAAGGGAGATAGGATGCACCAAGAATGGGCCACTGAGTCAACCCCCCACAGCCAGCGTGTACTAGACCATCCAGCCTCCACAGCAGCTCAAGGACAAAGCCTGGGATTTGTCCAGGCTTGTCAAAATTGGAAAAGCTGTGGCCTTAATCAACCCCTGACTAGCCCTAACCACTTATAACATACTAATATGATTGCCACTTGCTTAAGCCAAACCTATCTAAAATGACCTAACTATTCTAGGAACTCCCCTTAGCTATGCTTAAAAGGAGCCCACTCATCTGTTTCAGGGTCTTTGGCATCTTCCCTTTGCATAGGATGGACAGTCCCAGCATGCTGGGATAATAAATGCTCTTGTTGATTGCATATGTGGATGATGGTCTTTTGTGAAACTTCTCCAGGACCTTAACATCCTCAAGTTGCAGAGGGTAAAGGGAACACTCTTTCTGTTCTCCAGGGTAGAATGCTAATCGCCTGAGCATCTCTAGCGAGGCTGCACTTGGGAGCTGGCTTCAGTAGGCCCAGTCCTGTGGCGGGTGCGTCTCCAGGGGGCGTCTCTGCTGCTTTACTAAATCAGAATTTCAGGCCAACCAGCTTGGCCAACCCTTGGCTTCTTTGGCGTTTCTCTGCTGCTTTTAAATTCCACCCTTGGCCATTCTGCCCTGGCACATTCCGCTCTTTTGTGTCGTGAGGTTTGAAGAGGGACGGAAGCACTTTGAGGAAGGAGGTTCTCCTTGATAACAGTGTGGTGTCTTTTAAATTTCATTCATTTATTAATCTGTTGGTTATTTTTTTGTTTTGTTTTTGAGATAGGATCTCGGTTAAGTTATCCAGGCTGGACTGAGAATCACTGTGTATTGGAGATGGTTTTGAACTCCCAGCAATCCTTCTGCCTCTGTCTCCCACATGCTAGTATTACAGGCGTGAGTACCATGTCCCACTCACGTGCTTTCAAAAAACATTGCTTATTTTTGTTATTAGTGTGTGTGTACGGTGTGTGTATGTGTGTGTGTGTGTGTGTGTGTGTGTGTGTGTATGGTGTGTGTGTATATGGTGTGTGTGTGTGTGTGTGTGTATGTATGGTGTGTGTGTGTGTATGTGTTTTGTGGCTTTATTCATGGGGAGGTCAAAGGGCAATTTTATGGCCCTACATCTCCTTCTACCTTTACATGGATTCTTGGGATCAAATTCAGATTATCAGGCATTGTAGAAAGTGCTATTACCTGATGATTCATTTTGCTGGCCCACAAATTAACCTTTTAAAGTAAAAAATATTCACAGGAAAAGTGCAAGTGTTCTTTTATTATTATTATTATTATTATTATTATTATTATTATTATTATTATTAAGGAATTAAAGGTGACTTTTTATT